AGGACCATTTTCCTTAACCAGTGACCTTCAATTACAGAGTAGCAAGTAAATTAGTAGAGACAAAAAAGAAAAACCTGTTAGCCAGAAAATCTTACTGGCTAAAGCTTGTCTTGTTTCAGTTCCAGTTTCCGTAGCTTTCGGTAAAGTATGTGCTGTCTCTTTCGGAGTACTGGTGTTAACTGGAAATGTTGATTCCGGGAACAATGAATTCCTTCTTATCAAAAGGTTGGGTTTACAACTGAGTTTTTCATAAGACCTTAAAGTTTTTTGAGTGCTCAAAGTGTCTGAATCCTTGAAAGAAGCCCCATGATGCCACAGAGCATTACTTATGCTCATGGTTGGTTGCTTGTAGGTCGAACTGAGAAGCAGGCTGGGATGCAAATTTACAGTGCAGCAGTTTGGTGGCTCTCACACAGAGGGCTTACTTTCAACTACAGACATTTGAGAGTTAGGACTGTGATCCTACTTGGTTCAGGTTGCTTAGACATGAAAAATTCACATATTCAGGTAAGTGATGTGGTATGAATCCACTTTGAAAGGAGACTAAAGAAGACAATGATATCTGCAAGCTAAGGCTATCCACACAGAGAACCAGCACTTTTCAGATTCACAAGCCGACTTAATTCCCTAGCTAGGCAAGCCCAAACATATGGCCTTCTTCACTTTGAAGCTGAAGGAGATGTTTGTATTCCATTGTTTATGGCTGGTAACTCTATACACATTCTGTGACTCTTAATTTTTCAGTTCCTCCATTGCAACCTTCAAATCCTATAATCCAAATTAAGTTCTGTTTTAGTAGGACAAGATCCATCTTTCTTTCTCTGGGTACACAGTTTGACAAGTGAGGTTTTCCTTCTGGTACGTTAGCACCTTGTATCTGCATCAGATTTATAAAATGAGCCAAGTTCTCAATCAAAAAGAAAAAATGATGCAAACAAGATAAAACAAGCCACACAGTTAAAACAAAGATAACCACTTGGGTATAAGTTTTCTTTTGACAACATTATTAGCTAAGTACCTTTTCTCTTCCTTCAGTGAATGTTGGCATGAAACCTTTTCAGAGTTATATGAGAGAAAAGGGATGCGGAAATATCTGCAGGTGGTTTTCACTTACCCTCACAAAATCTAAACCATGTTTTCCTGCTATCTGCACCACTGCACTGCCTGCAGATTACCAGGTGTCTTTAAGCCTCCATTTTCAAAGTTTTCCCAGGCTAGTTCAGATCATCAGCTCTTACAATTTAAAGAGAGAGATTAATTTCTAAGGGACTGCTGTAACAGCATGGTAGAATGCCAGATTGCTGCCTTCTTGCAGTTACTAATATGTTTGCTTTCGGATGCAATCGATCTTTTTGAGATCCCTCTTCCCCTCAGTTTGACAGAAATCTGTTAATGACGGAGCTCTGAGTGTTCTCTAAATGCAGTGTGGTGAACTTTGAGCCCCAAGCCTGAAGCCACAGTCTTCCCACTGTTTGTTGCTTGGGTTCAATAAACATCACACTGATATATTGAGATGACTCAGCTACACAGCGTTCACCTGCCAGCACCAACTCACTGGTCTGGACTTGTGAGTTTTTCCAGATAGCAGACAGGCTGAAAGAGCAAAGCCATTTATAGACCTGGTGATTATAATGATGCATGGGAACAAAAATAGATTTATAACAATCATAACATCCAGGACAGCAATACAAATAGTGAGGATAAAAAACAGGGAAAGATAAATACCTGTCTGGAAAAATGACTACTACTGAATCAATAAGCTGATGTCCTACCAAAAGCACATCATTACAGATTGAAAGCAACGCAGTATCAGTAACTTTCAGTCTGCCCAATGAAAGTGGTTCTTTTTCTCCAGTTTTATGTACTGTCAGGGGTTGCAGTGAACCATTTCTGTTAACTAGAGGGCTGTTTCTGCATCACTTTTAACTACTGATTTTTAAAACAAGCTACTCATATTCCTGTAACACGGAATGGGCTACTTGATGCCTATATTCGCCACTTTAGGTTTGTTAGTAAAAGAAGAAATCCTGATTTTTTTATTATTTTCTTTTCCTATTACATCTTGTAAACTATATTATGGATAATGAATAATTAAAGGAACACAACTTTAAAAAAGTCATTTCAGTCTGTGTCCATTCCCTGTTATGGCACGTAGTCACAAACGTGGTTCTTTTAAACACTGCTGAGAACAGCTTGGTCGTAGCACAGACAAGTGTTTATTACAGGGTTTACTGCCTTGTCCTATGATTCCATGCTTTGCAAAGCACATCTTAACTAATTCCCAAAGGCAAAGTGGCAAAGCTGTAAAGCACTTGTGAAAACATTCAAACTGCAGTTTAAACCTTGTTAAAGCACAGTTCTGCTCTGAAAAGTGCCACTAAAAATGGCAGTGTGGGATCCTGTATTTATTGTCTATTTGTGATTTCCAGATCAAACATGCTAAGTACAACTATATGGTTCTCTCCTAACATCCACAGCCAGCTCCACAGACTCCAGTGAGATTAGATAGTTGAAACTCTCATGTTCATGTATTGTTAAGATGATGGTAGTCTTAGCATCTGTCCAAAGCTGATGTCCTCATTGAAACTGATACACCTTGGTCCCCTTCCATTGAACTGAATGAGCTCAAGGAGGATTTGTTTTCTTCTCATTAACGTGTATCAGTTTTTTCACTGCTATGGGGGTGAAACATCTTTTCAGGCATCTTTTCAAATCTAACTCTGAACAAAAATATACACAAAACAGATGTGTTTTGTGCCACTTTTAACCATAGCCACATTTTCAGCTAAAGAATTTTAATGGCTTTTTAATTTGTTTTCTGGTCTGTTTCACAGTATAAAATGTTTCAATCTCTAGAAAAATCTGATATGAACAATACCATCTATACACATTAACTTGTTTAAGCACAGGCTTATGAGCCACATTTCTATTTCTTTAGAGAGACAGCTGTTGCATATTTATGGCCAGCACCAACAATGAGAAGATACAGCCCAGTCCATGCTCTTCAATTAAACATGGGGATCTTGCTATGAGTGTGGTGCTTTGCTTTGTGCTGTAACTGAGCAGGAAGCAATCAGTCAGCCTCACCCACTTGCCAGGGACCTCTCAATTGACACTGGAGTCTGCTGTTCCCAATCAGGAGAAAGAACACATTGCCATATCCAGCTCTTGGCCTCTCAGGGGTTAAAGCTAGTTTGGTTTAAATAAATTCTGCTGAGGGATTTGCTGTAGCATTCTGGTTGACATTTAAAGTTGGTCCCTATATAGAGAATACCATACTCATTCACAGCTACCCTGACATGGGCAAACATGGTCATTTCAAAACCAGTCCTTCTCGCTACCCCACAACAAAAACGTAGAAATGTAGGGGCAGATTTTGTTTATTGGCACTACTGTGTCTTTATCTGGGCAGCATGTTCATAAACACGCATATAAGAATAGATACTAAACTACCAAAAAACTCTCAAAAGATTACAGGAACAGTTAGAGCATCCATTCAAGGTGCAATACAAATCAAGTGGTGCCTACCATCCAACAGATGCCAGCAATACTCCCTTGGGTGGCAGGGTTTCCATGCCAGTTTTCTCATCACCTCTTACAAAGAACTCATCATTAATTGAAGTGTCTTGAATTTGTATCTTCCTGACGAGTGTAATCAGCATCTGTTTTGATCTTAGGTTATGCTTGATGGCTGTTCAAACAGTGACAGCTGTGTAAGGAGGACTGTGCGAGGCTGTCCTCCTCGAAGACAATGGTTTCCTGACTTAGCGTAGATGAATTTCTGTGAAACAAGATGCAGGCTTTTTCCACCCCACTCTTTTGCCAATCCCGCACCTCCTTGTGGCTTAAAGGGGCAAAACTGCACGTCCCAGAGCCAGCGTGGGCCCCAGATTTCAAATGCTCAAGAGCTGGAATATCCAGCCCTGAGGTTTTGGTCTGGCCTGTGAAAAGGGAGAGAAAACTATCTGTAAAAACTGGAGGCACATCTGGGTTTGGCTTTTACCCCAGGATCCCACAGCCTTCCATAATCACTTTCTGAATATCTGTAGGTTGGGAGGAGAAATCCCTTCTCCGCACCTTGGAAAGCCGTGCTCAGCTTCACACCTGGTACACACAGGTTCCCCTAAGGTTTGAGCCTTGAGGCTTTAAAAAATGCTCTTTTCTAACTAAAAGTGGGAGAACAGGCCTCTGATGGGTCTTCTCCTGTGGGCAGGGGCTTGCTGAAAACACTGAATGTCACTGGAAAGACACAACTGCTCGTGCAGAAGCCCTGTATCATTCCCACAGGTCTTGCCTCCTCACAAAAACCCTTCAGGGATGGTGATGTCCGGTGTCCATCCCGGGCAGCCAGACACCCATCCTGTCGCACAGGCCTGCCTTGGCAAGCGGCAAGGGCAGTGGGGCCATTCCTCACATTCCTGCCTCAGCAGGGAAGGGAAACGAGCATGGATCCTCCTTCCCCTCAGCCCTCCCTTGCCTGGCCTTTGCTTCCCAGCCAGCCCCAATCCTGGAAACCCCTGGAGAGCAGAGCCAGAGGAGCCCTCTTCCTCCCGGGAAATGGCAGCCCCGGGTGTGCTCAGGGCTCAGCCTCCAGCAGTGATTTCTAACCGTGTCTCCCATGAGCCAGGGACGCCGAGGGAGCGCTGTCATCCCTGGGTCATGGGTCTCCCCTTCGAGCCAGCTGCTCAGGGAAGAGGAGGAGGGGGACAGCCAGACAGCCAGACAGAGCCTAATTAAACCCTCCCCTGGCCAGCCCCTGACACTCCCTCCTGCATTTTCCAGTCTGTGGTTACAGCTCTCAAAGGGTTCCATTAAGTCATCAAGTTTTACAGGTTCCTTAAAAAAAAGGGGGGGGGGAGAGACAGCGCGCAAGAGAGAAAAGTTTGGTCATGGTAGGGAATGAGTGATCAAAGCTGAGCCAAGCTTCCTGTTACACCGGGACTATATATATGTCGTGTCTTTAATGTTGGGCGATGTAAGCAGGCTGCTAGGAGACTGGAGCAGGAGCTGACTCTCTGCCTGATTTCCCAGCTCGCTGAGGTTTCTTCCACTGACCACAATGAACAAGTTCCTGTGCTGCACGCTTGTGGTAAGTCCCTTCAGAGAGGTAGATAGGCTTTAAGATGCATTACAGCTTCGGGCTGTAAAGACGTTCTTCTGGGGTTTTGCTTTGTTTTGTTTTGTTTTTTGTTTGGTTTTTTTTGGGAGGGGGGCTCTTTTGTTTGTTTGGGGTTTTTTTGCCTTCTCTCAGTTTTCTTGGTAAACCCTTTTCGTTTCATCACACCAAGCTTTCCTGGTGAGGTTTGGAGTGCGACGGACACGTCCAGCTCCAGGGAGGCAGAAGGGATTTTCATCCCGTTCTTAAGGTAGTAGAATGATTTGCTTTTCTTTCGCCTTTTTTCCTATCTTCCCCTCTCTTTTTGTTAGGCTTCCTCAAACCAGGCTGACACAAAACACTGTATCCAGGAATGAATTTAGAAGCTGTAGTCTGGGATGTTTGTTACAAAAGCTCCATCCCTGCCTGTCTCTGTAATCTCTGCTGCAGTGGCACTGATGAGTATCTCAGATACTGGGCTAGCTCTCTTACCCAGGAAAACTACTGTGAACTCCAGAAAAAAAGGCACAGGCTTGTGGTGCTTGTTTTGGCTTAGAAAATTCAGCTTCATGTGCAAGAAAGTGATGAATTAGTAGCTGTGTCAGTAGCTATTACAGAAGAAGTTGTGTTATTAAATCTGGTATAAGCCCCTGCTTTAATAAAGTTTTGTTTACTTGGCGATTTAGCAAGATACTTCCAGATTCAAATTCAGAGATGTTAGCAGTGCAGTAAATCTTTCAAAATGTCATTTAATCCATTTAGCCTTATGGAATTGTGTGTGATACCAGATTAATTAAAACCTGCATACAGACAGATACTGTGAGACTTCTTTTTGGAGGCAATTCATCTTTTGGATAAGAAAACATTCAAAGAAAAACATTAAATAGAATATTCAGAGCAGACTGTTACGCTTGCCTGGGCAGTAACTTGCTTCTGGGTTGTTTTGGTGAGTACAGTGGCATTAATGTTGTGGCAGAGCATTAGAACTGAGATCCATTTATTTTGAAAGCTCTTTATAAATGCAACGAGATTTCCAGGATCTGATGAGTAATGCGGTTTTATTACTCTCTGTACAACTTTCTGAAAGAGCTTTTTGAGAAACAAACCCAAAGTAATTAATAGTGCAAGTGAAGCAAAAAATGTCAGACTCATGGTCAGCAAATTGACATGCAGGAGAACTTTTTCATCTCATGTATGATGTTGTGCCTTCTTCGTCTATCTGAAAGCACGGGAAGTTAATCTGGGAATTTCAGCTATAGCCTGTTATCAGCTTGGCTTCTTCCCTGTGGCGGTCATAAAATAATCACATCAGTTTTTGATTTTGATTAAATGTAATGTGCCTGTTCATGTTCTCCCATAAAGTAATAGTGTTAAGTGAAGTTCAGCGTAATTCTCTGGCAGATGAGTCTTGGAGCTGAAATACAACAGCGGCAAGAGTACATACCAGAGAGCTTCATCATTCAAGTCCTTTTTTTATTATTATTTAAAAGGAATTTGTTTAAAGTTATGGTGGAATTTAAGTACTGTTAGTGAAGTTTAAGTACTGCCAGATGTGCTAGAGCTCAGAAAATAGTTTTATACCTGTTGTATAAGAACACTTGTAGGCTGCACACCAGCAACTCAAAGTTGTGTGTGTTTGGCTCACATACCTTACACCTTGTTTGGAGACACTATAGCTAAAAAAGACTCTTTGGACATGATGTACTTTCAGTCTTGGCCTCTCTGCTAAGGTTCCAGAAAGGGGACCTGCTTTGGTGGTGCACACATGTACGTGTTGTTTGCTGGAACACTAGAACTGCTTACAAACAGACAAGAGTTATGAAATCAGACTGAATTAAAAGAAATTCCCCAGAGCTGAATCTTGTTACTTGTCACGTAACTATCTTGACCCTTAAACTTGACCTTTCTCTATTTTGGATCTCCGGACGCATGTGACATGCTTTTTCTGGCCTGCCTGTTGGGTTTGCTGTGTGTAGGCAGCAGTGGCTTTGCAGCCCGCGAGGGTAGGAGTTATCTTTCTGTCTGACTTTCTTTCTGACTGTCTGCATGTGTGTTGGTTAAAAATAAAGCACCAAGGTTACCAGAAGAATTTTTAAAAACTATTGTCACAATTTAAAGCACACCCACTGTTCAAATCTCACAGAAACTTCAGTTTTGATCCTTCTGTACTGGACTTTTATGCTAGTAGATTTACTACTCTGACTCTGCCTGGAGAAAAACACCTGTTTGCACATAATACTGGTCATCCTGTTTCTCTACCTAAATAGTCACTCGTTAGTAATTCTGTTCAGTGCAAGGCAGACTGTAGGAAGTCTGCCTTGTAGGTGGTAACAGCAGGTGGTAACATCCCAGGTTCGGGTTAACTCTAAATCTTTCTGCCACTCTGGCAAATAATGTTCCAAAGAATGACATATGGGTAAGACTCCTCTTTTGGTGAGTAGCTGGTTCATCTTTTCTGCTTTCTTCCTCCACAAGTTTCAAGGCAAATGGAACTTACATATGTTGAGACTTTTGGTTTAGCACCTCTTTGATAAGATGCAAAACGGCTCCTCAGCTGAATGTCATTTTCCTAGCACTGAAAATAACACAATAGTTTGGACCCCAAAAGTGCTTTGTGAAAGACAACTTTGTGCCTCACGAAGTCTCTATGAGATCTGAATTGTTGACATATTGCTTTGCTAACAGAGAAATGAAGACAGTGGTTGATAGCCTCAGTTTCAAATACAGAAGCACAGAACACCATGTTGGAAGGGACCTCAAGGATCATCTGGTCCAACCTTTCTAGACTCAGGACATCACTCAGAAGAATCATTAGCCGTATTGCTTATGTAAAAAAGTATCCTTCACTTTATAAAGCATCTTCCATACAAAAGTAGGTCCCGTTATGTCCCAAGTGAGTGGATTGCATTGAAGCAATTGGCAGAATGGTGGAACAGCTTTATAAGGTAATCTCAAACCAGTGAAAACAACTCAATTTCAGCTGTTACTGTGTTCCTGTTGCTCAGCTGGGACCTGCCAAGAGGTGCTTTATTTGGGCTGTGCTCTAAGTGAGCCTGCAGCAACTTAAGTGGCAAGCAGTGCTGCACAGCTTTTGGCCCAAAGAGGGTGAATTCTGTGATTGCATGGGGCCACCCAGAACAGTGAGAGGAGGAGGAGGATGTGAGTTGAGTATCTCCCAGATAGGTGGGAATCACTCCTCCCTAGATGAAAAGTATTTTACAGTGGTTATTTGCAGTAGATGGCCGTGGATCTGATCCAGCATGACACTGTCAGGTACTGGATCTAGAGTTACTGTTTTGATATGACAAGCTATTGATTAGGATGCCATCATTAGTATCATTAAGTGCTTTATTTTGCCACTGGGATTTCTCTGGGGTCTGTGCATGACTTCTGTGAGGCATTCTGCCTCAGGGCTGAGGGTAAGTGAACGCCTCCTGCCTTCACTTTGTCCAAATACTTTGTGAAGAAAGCAAAGCAGGAGAGTTGTGAGGTTTTACTTTGAACCCAAAGCAAACACAAGGAGCAATCTGACAGATGCCTTGAATGATTATTTATCACGCAGGAAAACATGCTTCAGAATAGTTGTGGAATGCAAAACAGAAACAGATTTATCTTTCTCAGCAAATTAAACATTCTCCTTTGGTCTACAACCCAAAACCACAGAGCCAAGCTATATAATAATATTTTCATATGCTAAAAAGCCACTTTCTTTTCTCTTACAAAGCAGTGATTTAAGTGGATGATGCTTGAAGGATTTTTACTTTATGTGCTTTGTCTTCCAGTTCATTTTAATTCAACAAGAAAAAGCAAGTGGCTCTTTGCCTTACATTTAAACATGAAAGAAAAGGGCGTGTACTTTTTCATGCCCAAGATCTGAAACGAAATTTTACAATCACATTATTTCTCTTTCAAAAGCATCTTCTAAGGGCTCAAATAAATGGACTGCACAGGCCTTTTATGTTAGCATTGTGTATACTGACATAAAGATGGTATGGAAGAATGTTGCTTCAGGCCTAATGTGTTGAGTGTCACAATCAAAGAATTGCTTTTTAACCTTGGGTAACTCATTTGGAATGAATTCTAGACTTATGTTTCAGTATTTACAGTTCATGCCCTTTCCTCACACAGAGACAGCCATCCTGAGCAGTACCCAGGATTTGGCTTAGGGAGATGGATGATGTCTGAGTTTTTCAGTCCTTTCAGAGCTGAGCCCATGACACTAGAACTGAATTTCATCCATTAGGTTGATAGCTGTAGTTAATGATACTAGATTTTGGTTTGGTTTTACTTTGTTGTAATTTTTTTTTTGTTACTGTTAGCGTTTCATACTCATAGAACAAAAACCCTCAACCTTTGGGATTGTTTTATCTTAATTGAGCCCTGCATTTCACTATCCCTAGGAAAACCATTACTCATTTGTAATCGAGTGCGCTCTGAATGAGACTAACAGTAAAATTGTTGAGATGAACAAGCTATTGAGTATCATTGGCTTCCACTGGTGTTGGGATATAAAGGGTTTGCTCAGGGTTTAAAACTGAAACAAACTGCGTAGATCTTTTCAGTCCATTCCTCAGCTCTTCCAGGAAACCAAATGGTGTATTTGCTTTCAGAAGTACATTAAGAGCTATATTAAAACTTCTTGGGTTTCTTGCACCTGCTTCTTAGTACAAGGCTGTTAGCAAACTTCCTCTGATGAGAGAATCCCCTTCTCATTTGCCAACATTATCCTTAGTAGAGAAAGTTGTTCTCTCTCCGTGTGTTCACTGTCTATCTGTACTGATTCTATAGGTTCTGTTTTGACTTGCCAAGCTATTGAGCAAGTCAAGATCCTCTTCAAGATGAAGCTATTTCATTCTAAACATGCTCTGCACCACTTACAGGCTGAATTAACCTTTGCTAAACAAGGACAAATGGGATTTTACTCAATCTTCTTAATGACTATTCCATGACTTTGGCCAGCTGTAGCTCTGATAGATTCCAGCTTCAGTTTCTTAAGGGATAAAGGGGGAACATGCTCATTGCCCCTACTGATTCCAGTAAACTGAAGCCAGACTTCTAGTTTCTTCCTCCTTTCAAACTGGAACATGCCTTCTTCTCCAGAAAGAGTAAAACAAGCCAATGCCAGCATGATTATAGGAGAAAGCCTGCTTTCAGTGAAGCTTTTGGGATGACCAGTGTTCAGAACTGTTAAGCTCTGATCAAGGCATTTCCATGTGCTCAAACAGTGCTGTTTCTTACACCAGAGATTCAGGTGTTTAGTACATAGCCTACCTTTAAGCTTGGGTATTCAGGTCAATCGGAAGTTTTACGTGGCTGACAATCTGCTACCAAGTTGGTCATAGCATAGTTTAGGGGGGAAAAAAAGTCAGGAATAACATAAAATGCATTTAATTACCATTTTAATTCGATTTGAGAATGTGATTTTGAAGGGCTTCTCTTGACCATCCTTATTTACTATATTTTAGTTTGCACATCAGGGCAGACTTGGAGTGCACAAAGTGGATTTACAAAAATAAACTGGATTGATGAAAGTAAACCCAGAGACAGACTCCAGAGACACACCAGATGCCCTGTAACCACTAATGCATGCTCAGTCAATGAGAGCAGACTGAAGCTAGTCCAAAATACCCCCTCTGAATCATGCATAATGTGGATGTCAGGTGCTTGGCACCATCTGTTTTGCTCTACAAATCTGCTGTAACAGGTGATCCAACTTGCTAATATAAGCCCGAATTCAAGGTGTCTTAGGCTAGGAGAAAGGACAATTTAGTGACATTCCCCTCTAGCTTATTCTGTGAGCTAGGGGACAAGAAGAGTCTTTTCATTCTGTTTGTGCCAAGTTGCTGCAGTAAAGCTATTAAAATGATACTTCATTACCTTCCACCATTCTTCCTGCATTTTGCATACCTTCTGAAAAACAGATTGCTTTTACTTCGGCACTTGATGTAGGCTCAAGGATAACTTATGATTTACAGGTTGCATATTAATATTCAGAATACTTACGTGTGCTAGGTGTCTTCAGTCTTTGCCAGACTGTCAGAAGACAATCCTGCAGATCTGTTCTCCTAAGGATTATTAAGGGACCTACAGTAGTCTTCTGATGAAGTGTGGTACTGGGAGTCGGAGTCTGGAGGTGTACTTGACAACATACTAATGGCTGTACCAGGTCTAAGAAAAAAAGAATCTTAAAAAAATGCCCTAAAAAGCCCCATATGCTGTCTGTGGCAGGGGTCTATAACTGATGCATGGAGGAGATGGAATAAAAAGGCAGAAAAATAGTGATATTTTTTCAAACACTCCTCCAGACTCAAGCAATTTGTGGTTTGGGATTTCCTGATCAAAAGGCAATGTTTATGTTTAATAGCCCTTTATTATTTTCCTCCAGTACTGTGTCAAATAACATTCTGAACTCAACCATTTACGATGTCCTGTGGCAACGAGTGCACAGCTCACTGTACTAATAGGATCATAGTAGTCAAACAGTAACAGTAATGGTAGTCTGTGTTGAAAAGGGTGTATAAAATGTGCTGTTAAAATATTGAGATATTGTTTGCATTTATAGCTTTAGTTTGACTGAGGAAACTTTTGTCATAATTGTTTACTAAATAAAAGAGTTGAATCCTGCATACATATGGCTCAGCCAGTGACCAATGGATTATGGCAGCTACATAAGGTGCATTTTTGGGAAAGAAGGGAAGACAGGTGTGATGTGCTTTTCTTTTAAAAACACAAAGAAAAAATCAAATGCAAAGACTGATTATTCTTTTAGTGATACTGATTTATTAATCCTATTATTATGGTTATTGGTTATGCTCATTTAAATTAATAGTATTCTGGTTGCCATTAATAGTTCATAGCTTTGGTACTTCTAAAGGCAAAACTTCACATGGTCTCACACACGTATTGTTCACATATTTTTTTGCTCAATTTTTTAAATCAACTCCTCTCAACATTGTGTTGAGTTGTTTTCAGTTTTGATTGGCTTGCTTCACATAGCTGTAGATTCTTCAGGAAGCAAGTGCCTCCATTTTTGCCTATAAAACTGCATGCTTTCACACTCTGATTATTGAATCTGAGTTATTTTTGGTGCTGAATCGTCCCCTGCAGCAAAACTTCTCACTTGCCTCATATATGTTTTCCAATGTAAATGACTGAGCAAGAAAAACAGAGAAAATCTTGTTGTTCTTGCTTCTGCATGTTGCAGAGGGGAGTTGAGGAGCCATGAAATGATTCACCTAAATGTTCACCATCTGAAAATGTGTTACCAAGGGCAGAGGCATGACCCAGAGGAGCAGGTTCTGCTGTAGTAACAGCTTAGGATTTGTTGTGAGCCATGCATTGCAGAGCAGGAAAACTGACATTTCTGCATGAGGATGTGCTGCCTTCATGTCTGGTTGCTGTCCCTAATCATTTTCACAGTGCCAGATTTACATCAGTGTTGGGTATTGTCTTGGGTTTTGACAGACATCTGCATGAAATGTGGGTTGATGCTTGTCTCTAGCATCTGCACCACGTTACAGTCTGTTATGTTCTATGAAGGAAGGCAATGTGTGTGCCCATGAAAATCTTGGACTCTGGGATGCTGCTTTATCTATTACTGGATAAAAAACATTGCAGAAGACCTAACTGTTCACATCAGCAGTTAATGGGATTACCAGGACTTCCTTAGTGCTAGAGTCAAAGCTGTAGATTTACTAAAGGTGGGTGCATTTTGCATCAATAGCAAGCCATTCACTATTTAAGAATGGGCTGCACCCTCTTGTTAAGTAGATCACACAAAAGAGATACAGTCATTTAAGAAAAATGGAGTGGTACATCACACTTCAATGACTAATAAGGAATTTCCCACAATGGAAGGGATTGTGCATTGAGACCACAAAGGAAAGTGGGATCTCCATGTGTAGAAATCACAGATTTGACAAGTTACAGGGCTTAGTTAAGGGTAACTAGAAGAGCCTGTGGGGAATATCCGTACTATCTACATTTCATTCTTCAACGTATCTAAGTATAGATATATATAAGTGGATTCATAGAAAGGCAACAGGAGAATGCATTTAAGAATATTTTCTTAAGCAGTAGGAGTTCCTAATTTAGGCATCTACTGTTACTTTGTGCAAACACTGACAGGAATGATTAAATTGTCCTTTCCAACCTTAATAAGATTATCACTTGAGAAGTACTATGCTGCGGCAGAAGCGAGGCCCTTAGATGAAGCCTCTTTAGGAGATACAGAGTCTGAACAAATAAAAGGAGTTCATTCCACTTAGACTTTGGGTACATCTGCATTGGAAAAGAGGAAAATACGTTCTTGAAATTGAATTGGCAACTCTGTATTAGCTCACTGGGATTAAAATAGAAACAAAGACAAGTCAGTTGGATCTACAATTTGAATGGATACACAGAAAAAAATCTTATTCAGAGCCAGTTTACTTCATCTTTGTAAAATGTACAAGTTTTAGATGAGAAGTGGCACATTGGTCACGTAGCACTGGGACAGAGCCAGGTTCTCTGTGACGGGAGTGAGCTGCTGGCAGACCCCATGGGGCTTGGGGCAGTACATAAGGAGTAAAGTCAAGAGGATTTTTTTTATAGGCTGGTGGAATCACTGAGCCAAGTTTTCAGTTACAAGTCCAAAATTGTGTGATATGGAGGTTGTCTGTGGAAGGGCAGGTCATCCCAAATCACACTATTAAAGCAGACTGTTGCAGGAAGCAGGAGTGTCATGACATGTGCCCATACCAAACCAGGTCCTCATGACAGCCATAAGGCTGTGGTGTTGGATAGGAATTGAAAGCATTAACATGGCCTCTTCCAACTCTTGTGATGAAGACCTTCATAAACTGCAGTATTCTTTGCTTCTTCCTGAAGCTGCATCTTCATACTTGACATAGCTGCCCCAGAGCTGCTGCATTTCAGTACAAGATTAAACAGAAGGCATTAGAAGTAACCTATATTGTTATAGCCATTCATTGCTAGTAAAAAGAAATATTGTAAGGAATCACCTTGAAAGGTACCTGCAGTAACAGTGCAGCATGCTGCTCAGATTTCTATGCTCAGATAACCATTTCTTTTGTATCTGGAGTACCTGATGCTTAAGAACAATGGAGTGCTTTATCCCAACCTTGCTGTGCATTGAGCATGTTATCAATGAAACTAATAGGCCAGACTCTCCGGTGCCAGGTGGTAAAAAGACATTGCCCAGTGATATTAAAAGGGTGTAAGTGGGTGAAAAATAGGATCTGCATCTCTGGAAGAACAAGGAAGTACTTAGGTTGGGAATATTTGCTGGATAAGATCCTAAAATTTTCCCATTCTGAGATAGACTTGGGAGAGTCCGGAAGCTGGCTAATATTTTATAAATAGCTAACACAAACATTTTTTTGAACATAGCGACATGGTTAGACTCATAAACTCATTAAAACGTGGGTTTCTTTGTGAGTCACGGTGCTCCCCAGCACTAAAGCAAGCCATGTTTTCTTTTTCTGTTGGTAGCTCTTGGACATTTCTGTTAAGTGGACCATCCAGGACGACTCTCCCCCCAAGTACTCCCATTACGACCCAGGGACATCTCGCCAACTGCTGTGTGACCAGTGCCCCCCCGGGAGCTATGTGAAGCAGCACTGCACAGCCACCAGCCCCACGCAGTGTGCCCCGTGTCCGGACCAGTACTACGCCGAAGAGTGGAACAGCAACGATGAATGCCAGTACTGCAGCACCGTTTGCAAAGAGCTGCAGTACGTCAAGCAGGAGTGCACCAGCACGCAGAACCGTGTCTGCGAGTGTGTTGAAGGCAGATACCTGGAGCTGGAGTTTTGTTTAAAGCACACGGAGTGTCCTCCTGGGTTTGGTGTTGCACAGCTAGGTACGTACCACTTGTCGATATACACAGGTTTAATTAGAGCTTGACCACACATCAACGACTCATGGCAGGTACAAGATTAGGAGAGAGGCTCTTCCAGAAGAAATTACAGGACAGTAAATTGTAAAGCCGATTGAACCTGTTCCTAGCCTGCATCATTTGGACTGTAGCCAAAGGAACATTTCTCAGTGGAATACCCTGCTCCTACTGTAATATATAACTTAATGGCAGGAGCAAATGTAGCAAATTGCACTCTAATGAGAAACATGATGGATTGCTTCTTTTAAAGGAACATTATCTGGAATGTAGTATTTGTGTGTGTGAATAATAATGTTTTTCATTTTGAAATCTGTTTCAAGCAACTGTATATCTTGACAAACACCAGGAGCACTATGTGTTAGACACCAAGTGTATAATTATAACAATATTAATATAGCTCTAGCATCACAGCAATATGTGGTAATAATTAATTATCATCATCCGAAGTGGAGGTCTTAAGGAAACTGTTACTACTATCAAACAAACAACCATTTCTTTGTCAAGCAGGCTGGCAATGTGCTGTATTTCTAGTAGGGCGCTTTTTGGTGGAGTGTATTCTTCAGTTAAGACAACATAAATTGTTAATCCAATAATAAGTTCTTCTCTCAAAACAAAACACATAATTTATCATTTGGCAAATGTCATGTCCCGTTTTAGCTCCAGTATTTAATATAGCCTGAAAGAATTGTATACTGTCGTTGTACCAGAGATTGATAACTGCTTGGAGAAGAGCACTGAGGAAGGCAATATAGGAAATCAAAGTGTCTCAGACACAAACCCACAGGCAACCAATCTCCAGACTACACCATTACTTCCCGAAGAATTACATCTACACAGTGAGAGACACTAGGGCTGGCCCATGCATCTTAGAGCTATGAAGAATGGCAGGTTGGGAGTTTTTGGTTCTTGGGTTATGAACATCTCATTGGAGAACAACATGATGTAAGAAGTAACGTCACTGCTGTAGCTGCTCATTAGTCCCTGAGAAGTTGGTTACCTGAGCATTACCCTGATGCCCTTGCCAACTGCTAAGCATTTCTACTGGCAGCTACCGCATTTCTGTGTTATAAACCTTGATTAACCTAAATTATTATACCCAGGGGCTTGGATTAATGATGTTCTGCCATACCTCAGCAGCAAGTCAAAAGGGGCCAGAAACTAAGTTCTCAGAAAGACTGTCTGGGAGATGAACAAAGAAGTATAAATTGTCTGAGCAACCAGTGTGCTGCATCCCTCTGAGCACAGTGAAACCATGGCAGACAAATATGAATCCCTCAGTTCAAAATGAAGCAAACTTTGGAAGAAGATAAATTGTTGAATGGTGTAATTTATTGGAAAGTTGGTTTCCAAAAGACCATCAGAATGAACCAGCTAAACCCAAGCAGACCTCAAACAAGGAATGAAAACATTGTAAAAATAATTGCATCCCCCTGTGTCAGTAGTCAGTTTTTGAGGTGAGGCATAGGCTAAGAATTTAATAGGCATGGACCGCATTTTTCTTTCAGCCGTATGATAACTTTGAACTTTGCATTGATGTAGTTTCAGGTGAAATAAAACCTAGCTGTATAAAACTATGCTTCCACTGCCACACAGGGAGATGGTGTGGTCCAGTGTCTCATTCAAAGCTGAAAGCATTAGCAGGCTGTTTCCCCACTGCTCATGATTACATTGGGCAGATCACTTTACTTCGGTAGTCCCCTTTTGCCGGTACAGATTTGTTCCTTTCTGCCACAGTCGGCCCGGCACATGGCAGAGTTTTTAGCAGCAACGTGCTGGGGAAGCAGCACTGCTACGAGGCAGCTCTGTCCTCGGCTGCTGTTTCCCTGGGGAGAAGGGGGGATTCCAGGCAAACTGGAGGGAGCTGCAGAAGGGCGGCCAGGCTGCGGCAGTTTGCACCCTAAACAAGAGCAGCCAGACAAGCAGCAAAGAAGAAGCTGATAAAGCTGGGAGGTGACTTCATGCTCAACCCTGAGAAGGCTGATGGATTACCTGGGTTATTTCTCTCTTGTGCCGCAAGGTTATACAGGAAGCTCTGAGCAGAATGATGCACTGTTTGCAGGGACTCTCCTTTCTTCCCATTTCTCTCTGCCAGAGCACAACAGCAGTGAGTCTGCAGCAGGGAAAAATGCTAAAAATTCCAATGTCCCAGAAAAGCTTATTGCTGCCTGCTCAGGTTCATGTGCTGGCTGGAGTTTGGTACAGCCCAGACCGCAGCAGCGCTCATTGTGCAATAAAAGGCAAGGGCAGACACTGGTGCTGCAGGTTGGGCACTGCTGCAGAGTGCAGAGGATTTGGGTGGGGGGGTTGTGGCAATACGCAGGGTCTCTGATTTTTCAATCCCCCAACTACTGAAAACTTCTTTGTTTTCATTTGTTGTCTGGTGAAAGCAGTGCTAGGTCAGGTGTATGCACGTATTATTCTTTATTCCACAGCTGGTTGAATACTTGAGATTTGTACACTTTTTCCCTAAGGAAATACCCCAAATAAATAAAATTTACTTAAAAGTTAGCATTAAAATAAGCATCCACATGTACATACTTCCAAAATACACTAGATGGAGGCATTTTCTTATTCAAATATAGTTGCCAATTATTAAAAAGCAATATTTAAGCATGTGCTTAAGTTCATGTTCAATAATGCAATATTAGGTATTATACTTTAGGCATTTGCTTAAATGCTGGGTCAATAATGATGAATTAAAAGTGAATATACAGAAATTACTGGTGCTGTTATTTTCCTGCCACTGGTGGTTAGACTGTTTGCGTTTTTCAGAAGTTATGCATTAATTTTCTTCCTCTTTAGCAATGTCATAGAACCATATGTTGTCATTCTGTTGTTGTATCGTAGTAAAGCTATGACTTACAAAAGTAAAGCTCCAAGCAAAACATATATATGTTTATTAAGTATTTTTGCTCTATTGGACAATCTACTTTCTTTTAATAATATTTTATTCAAGCCCAGAAAAAAGTTCAAAAATATTAACAAAATGATATTTTCTGGTATAATTTAATATTTGAGAAAGGAAATTAGTTTACAGAGGGTCTTTAGTTAATATTTCATGGGGTTGTATTTTTAGCTAGAACTGAAGTAACCTGTTTGAGTAAATTCTGGGCAGATCCAATGAAGTACCATTTAGAGCAGTTTCCTATGCCATTATTTTGCAGAATATTTATACAGTTGAAGGATGAAGGTCAGACATCATGTAATGTCTGAATAGACTCAAGGAATTACTGTCTTAAAGGTATTACTTTACTAAATTACTATTTAATCGATAATTGCTGATTTTAAAGTTGGTATCAAGTGTACGTGAGTACTGTTTGCTCTGTGACTCCAGCAGGAACATCATTCTCTTAAAGAATCTTTTTTGTTATTAAAAATTAGAGTGGGGTTTGTTTGGGTTTTTTTTGTTAAATGTGATCCTTTCATAGACCAGAAATGTGAACAGCAAAAGAATGACAATGTGGAGAGGAAGATTTGATTTTATTTTTGTATTTTTTTCCCACATTTGAGGCTGTATGTAATTGGATGCATTGTCTTCCTGTTTCCACAGGTACCCCGGAGAGTGACACTGTGTGTGAGAGATGTCCAGAAGGATTTTTCTCAAATGAAACATCATCGAAAGCAGCCTGTCTAAAGCACACGAACTGCAGTGCTCTGGGTTTAAAAACAATACTAAAGGGAAATGCAGTGCGTGACAACATCTGTCAGGAAAATACAGATACGACACCTCAAAAATGTGGAATAGGTATGTATCACGTTAGGGAAGAGTGCTCTGAAAACGTGCCTTTTAGTTAAAATTAATCTATCAGCATTTATGCCAAAAATACCTAGCTTGTTAGCCATTTGCCTGCTATGGTGATGGCCATAGCGGAGTTTTGATTATTGTAGGTCAGACCGAATCAAACTCAAGCACAGAGAACAGCAGTGCTATACAGACCACTTAGTTTGGTTTTGGAACATTTTTTCTTACCATCCTTGCTGCTTGCTCTTCTTTCTGAGACGGGGAGGGTAACAGGTCAGAGAAATTCATACATTCTTTTTCTCATTTCAGATGTAACCCTGTGCGAGGAGGCTTTGTTCAGGTTTGCTGTTCCTACTCAGCTCACACCTAACTGGCTGAACATCCTAGCAGAGAGTTTGCCTGGAACAAAGGTTAGCACAGAAAACATCGAAAGGATTAAACAAAGGCACAGTCCTCAAGAGCAGACCTTCCAGCTTTTGAAATTATGGAAGCAGCAAAACAAAGAACAGGATATGGTCAAGAAGATCATTCAAGGTACCTTATTTTGATAGCATGTATATTAAAAGCAATCTTCTAAATGGCATTTTAAAAATTGCTCAGGATCAAATACCTCCTGGTGATGTGTAATGCTCGGAGGACCTGCAGGGCTTGGCTGAGGTTTATTGATGCAGTAAGCACAGTGAAGTTGAGGAGAAGCAGCAAGAGAATTCAGCTTCCCCTGATCAGTGGAGGACTGAATTCTCCCCAGACTTGTAGCCCCCTGGGAGCATGTGTGGTGCCACAGCCGAGATCCCCTTTTGAGACTGCACAACATCTGAAGAATTTTGATCAAGCAGGGAAACGTTTCCTGCTGTTATATCTGAGCAGTGGCTCTTGAGGTTAGAGGGAGCTGGATGCCTGCAGCTGAGAGTACAGTTTGTTTTCTGGTGAGACCAACAGCTCAGACTAGAACATCTGTTCACGGAATGGGAAACGCATGGAAGTGAGGAATACAGGGACAGGCTTTCCCTTCTTTTTCCCTGCCGGTACCTATTTGTCATGCCAGTTCACCGCTTGCTTTGTGCTGAATCTGACAAGACAGGTGTCAAAGGTGAAATAGTGCTGCAATGTTAACACCATGGAGTTTATGACAGTCAGGCCAATTCTTTTCATGTAAGGCACCATCAACAACTGCCACATTCGAACGACCTTTTGTCCACTCGGAATAGATTTGGAAAAATGCTGCAGAAATTGTTTGGTTTTTCCCCTCTCCCATTTAGTATGTATGCTCATGTCAGACTGTGAAGTGTCTAGAATATTTCAAAACCCAAAGTGACTATTTTAACAAAGCTTGCCTAGACTTCTGAAGAAGAAGAGCAGAATTTTCATTCACTGGAGCCAAATATTAGGAGTCCTATCACATACACAAAACATTTCACAAGATAGATGGAACTACATATAGCAATAAATACTTACTGAGGTTTGTTTGTAATTTGGGGATGTTTGTATTGCAAAGTTAATTAAATTCCTAAGTGCTTTTTGTAATTGGAGCCTAAAAAAAAAAAAAAAGCATTGCTGAGAGAATTATTTGAAATAAAGTAAAAAGAAAGAATTGGAAAGGAATATTCACGTTGAAATTTTGCAGGCCGTGGCCAAGTTGTAATGCGCTGTACTTACCTCTCTTTTCTTCTTACTTTCTGTAGATATTGATCTTTGTGAAAACACTGTCTTAAAGCATATTGGCCACCCAAACCTCACCTTTGAACATCTCAACACACTGATGGCAAGCTTACCAGGCAAGAAAGTGGGAAAAGAAGACATCGAGCGCACAATGAAACTATGTCAGCCTACAGAGCAAGTTCTGAAGCTTCTCAATCTGTGGAGGGTAAAGAATGGCGACCAAGACACCATTAAGGGTTTAATGTATGGACTGAAGCACTTGAAAACATACCACTTTCCAAAACGAACCATCCAAAGTCTGAAGAAGGTGATTAAGTTTCTGCACAGATTTACAATGTATAGATTATACCAGAAACTCTTTTTGGAAATGATAGGGAACCAAGTTAAATCAGTGAAAGTAAGATGTGTCTAATTCAAGATATTTTTCATTCTCCACTGACTATTATTCCCTAATTACTGCCAGCAGTAATTAAACTGGAACGTTGTTTTTTTTTTCCTACATTATGTCTTACTATTTATAGAAATGCCTGACTGGAATAGCTCTAAGTCTTTTGCAGTGTTGTTGGAGGGGTTTTTTTAAACAAAATCACTTTTGTAAAAGCTACGAACCTGTTGGTAACACTAAGAGTCTGATTCTGCATTTTTGCACATTCAGAGTTGAAAAGCCCCACTATAGTCACTAGATGAGAAAAGAATCCCAGACCAGGCTCTACTCCAGTATTTGCTGTTTATATTCTTTGAGGAATAGACATTTTTGTTGTACATATTTATTAAGTTAAATGGAAATTGTATGAGACTGAATTTTAGGAAGAGAAATGAAAAGCACACTGTATATTTTCTAGTTAAACAAAAATGACCCCATATATTTTTCTGGCAAAATTTTGTAGCATGCTCTAAGAGTTATTAATTTCTTTACATTTTGTATTTAAAAGAAGTATTATTGCTTAGTTTTATTTGTATAAGTTGTGGTATCTTTTTGTAGGGATATTTTAATTTATCCAATGATTTTAACTCAAATACAGTGAAAATATAGCATAAGTGACCTGAATATTTAAATATTCTGTGAGGAAGTGAATGTACCATATTTAAGAAGCTGGATTTTTATATAGAATTTCATAATCTTATTTTATAAAACAATTAAATTTTTCAGTTTACTTTTTGACTGGTGTTTTACTCTTAGCTCTGAAGTAGGAACTAACAACAAAGACCATGTGGATTTCGCACCTTATCTTGGGCTTGGCTCTCTGCTACTCCCTGTCTGGTCTCGTAGTTAATATGTGAGCCAAGTAAATATTGACCAGCACTGTCTTTTCACAGTCACTGTACAGGTGTAAAGGAAGGCAAAAAGCATTAAAAGTTCTAGGCCAGAGGACCAAGGTGGTTGTGATACGACTGACTGCAACTCCATAGACACATTTGGCCCAGCATTACTCTTGGCCTGGTGTCATTCTTGGAGAGCTCACAACCTTTGCCCTAACCACAGCTTGTAATTTCATGGAGGAAAGATGATGCAGAGCCCTTATGGGCTTGGAAAGCCTCACATATTGCTATTATGAATAAAGGAAGGGAGCACACAGAGGTCATGTAAGAAAAAAAACCATTTACCATTGTCCTCAGCTGCAGAATGAGGCACCTGTGAAGAGACAGTCCCCAAAGAAGGGAACAGGCACTGTACAAGTGTCTTCGTCAGAAGTCCACAAAATTTTGAGGACCAGTGGTCATCCACAGTGCAAACCAAAGGCTTTGGTGGCTGCACAGAGTTTACTCTTGTTTTTTTCTTTGAACCATGCAAACAAAGCTTGTGTATTCAACATACTCTTTTCCCTTGTGTATAGGAAAGAAAAAACATCAGCATTTAGCCTTGTATGACAAGCAAAGAATGAGGAAGAGATTCCTGGTAGATATGATAGGTGCTCATCAGAAGTGCTCTCCTTACAGAAAGGACAAATGGGACATACTGCTTTAAAATACTTGGGTTTAGTTTTTCACTGAATTCTCACATCACTTTTTGTATCAAAAGGGATAAACTTCCTTTTATATTTCACATGCTATTAGCATCTCATTTATCAGTGTAGCTGAGAAATGGTGCTGAACACACAAAAAAATACTAGTTTTGTGTTGATTCATTTGAAATAATTTACATACTTTTGTAACAGAAATGGGTTTTACATATAATTAAAAGATTATGACAACAGAATCTCAGATTTGCAAAACAGAGACCAGATGTTTCCATGACTCTGCAGGTGTGGAGGTTTGAGGTGGTGTAGGTATTAAAACAAGAATAATCATCATACTGCCAGCAAAATGAAGAGGATCCCACACACCTCTTATAAACATTTCCATCCTCATCCTTTCTATGTTACCTCTGTTTAATACAACAATTTAGCAATTGATGATAGTGTAGTTAAAGTATTAAGTAGTAATATAGTTAAAAATGTATCAGTGGAATCACTTTAGCAGAGCTATTGGCTAGAGAAAAGCATAGTTCCTTCTTAGTACATGGTACTGGTTTTAATTTATACATTTATACTTTCATATTCCAACTAATTATATGTAACTCTCATTATAAATAATATCAAATGTTTGTGGTGCTTCTGGAATGACAATACTGAGGAAGGTGCTCAGAGCCACATAGTATATAGTTTGTGCTATAGCCACCATAAGAAGGTGCTCTACTTCACTACCCTAGAGCATAGCTTTGACTGGATTTCCTGAGAAACTTTTGCATTAAACTATTACCCATGCCTTTTAAAATTGGTTTTTTACCCCCTAAACATAAAGCTACACCTGTTTAATGAGTTCTAGCTGTTAGAGCTGACTCAGATAACCAGGTGCCCATGCTCAGGTAGACACTTCTCAGCCAATTTATGCCTCATTTATCAATTCGGCTTCACTCAGCTGGAAGGAATCCAACATTTCACATCCTGAGCAGGCAACATGTAAACTGTATTCTCTTCCCCAAAGAGCCTCCAGTCCCAAAATAGCCAAGACAAACAAAAGCGAGACCCAGGATAATGAGGGAGAGGGTGAGGCAAACACAAAGTGGGAGGGTTGCTTGGAAAAAATGTGGGTTTGGGGGTGGTAGTTTGTTTTTCAGGGAAAGCTGCAGCAGGAAGAAGATGCTGGCGGGCAGCACATGGGAGAGGGGTCCCCGTGTCCATGACACAGAGGAAGTGCTGTTGTGGGGAGGCAGAAGTGGGGGGAAGGAGGGAGGTGCAAGGGCTGGGATCAGCCAGAGCTGGGCCCTGTGGGTGACGCAAAGAGGGATGCTGTGCTCCGGGTACCCTGACCTGCACTGGGAAAAGGAAAAGCAGTTTCAGGTACACTTGAGTGAGACGGTGAGATGGGCTTTAAGGCAGGTTCTTCAGCTGCCATCTGTCCAGCTGCGCTTTCAGAGTGGAAACAACCCTCAGTTAACAAAAAATACCCTAAGTTTAAAGCAGAACCTTAAGATTTCAGAATCTTCAACAACTCCATTTTTTATACACACATGTCCTCTAGCAAGGCAGTCTCCTAGAAAACATACCATGTTTTGAGGTAGGAGGGAAATTAAAGAAGAAACTAGATATTAAGCACATTACCAAGCACAATAGATTCCTGGTCGCTGGCTGTGACTCATGGATGCTTTCATAGTAAAATTGCTCACCAATATTACTGTCTGCTATAGACTGAACATTTTAAAAACACAGCCAGGTATCAGATTTTAAAACTTTAATGAGCTGGATATCAAAGGTTCAAAGAATTGGAATGGAATCTGCATCTGTCTGCAGCTGAATGCTGCATGCACACACACACACTTGCACACACAGGCACCATACTCTGTGAGGACAGCTTGGACTGGGTGCTTCTATAGGCCGTGCTGATGAATTCAATTCAAGCAGACGCTTCATCTCCCCCAGACACCCACTCTGTTCATCCTGGTATGGGTCAGCTCCAAAGCAGAACTGTCTGGTTTGCTTGTGAATCACCTACAAAGAGCCCGAATTTTAAAAGTAACTTAAAATTGTGGCTCAGAAATAAGCAAATATTTGTAGAAAAACAAATACTTGCTTTGTGTGTAGCACGACAGAAGTGTAGCAACTTCTGCAGACTATCAGAAACTATTCCATTTTGGACAATCATTAAATATAGGAAATATCCACCCTCTAAAGTATTTCTTTGTTGAAATAATATGGAGAAGAAAAAAAAAAGCAACAAATGGACAAAAGAAAAAAAGAAAAAAGAAAAGTTTTACATTTTTCTCCCTTCACCTTAATGAGATGGTAGAACCAATATTGGCAATAAGGTCAGGAGTGAGGAGGGATAAAAACATCGACAAAGCTAAGCCTGTAGTTGCTGTGCAAGTGGAGGATAAAGCTATGGGAAAGGGCTATAAGAATGGACTCCGAATTGCAACGAATTGAGTAATTCTATTTTTATATTAGAGTTTTGAGCTGGACAAAACTCGAGACAAAGCAGAGCAGGTGAACGCAAACGTGGACGTAGTTTATTCCACTCATCATCATCTTCATCCCTTGTATTTATGGCAAGTTTGCGTAGGATTCCTCTGTTTGTCTTTTCACATTTAAAAAAAGTCCTTTCATACTACCAGGTTATTTTTTTTAAATCACCCTGACCTTTAGTACCTAGGAGGGTGTTTAAAAGGAACCACATGATGAGAGATTGTGGCTTTGGCAATATTTCTTCTATGAAGAGGACAGGGTGTGGTTCAATAATGGTGAAGACAGAGCTTTCTGGAGAGTATTTTTCTCCTTTTTCTTTCTTTATCTAAGAAGGAAAGTCTTCATCCACTTCTAAAGAAACAAATAAACTTTCTGGCAACTAGGGCATACATCATTCTGGATGTACAGCATTCCGTCAGCACACAAAATGAGATTTCTGCCTATTGATAGTACTGATGGCTTGGTATTTGTGTTGTGCTTCAGCTCTGCCTGTAGCACTTGAGATGAGTGAAATGAAACATCCTAAAAGATGATTAGCCCCACCTAATGCAATGAAAACAGTGCCAGTAAGAGACGGATCAGGTCTTTCTGATCTTTGAAGCAGAGACGTCAGAGATCCGGGTACCTAAATATGAGGAGGCTTGCAGGACCCGCAATCTTCTGGCCGCAGTTAGGGAAGACTAACATAGACCCATGTTTTCGGGAAGGGTGTCCACACTCAGGAGATGTGTCAATGCTTGAAGAAGGGTGTGTGTTTTGGATTGCATCAAAATAAGCGTCAAGCCAGTGAAGCCAGCGGGAAGCCGGGCTATTCCCGTCTCCCGGAGGTAGAGAGCTTGGTTTTATGCCGCGTGGGTTGCGGACCAGCACAGGGATACAAGGAATGGGTAGTTACTGCTGTTGAGATGTCTATTTGAAAGTCTAAGATGACTGACATGCTGAAACCTCAAGAAACCAGAGGAATGATGCAGGAAAATTGCACTTGGTGCCTCAAAATTAGGCTTTCTCTCTTGAAACAGTCGCAAAACCCAAGTACTCAGGAAATAAGTTTCTTCGGCAGCTAATGACAAAGACCCTACAGCAGCATTTGGGTGATTTTGAGTTGACAGAGGATGTTCACAGGCAAGCGGTGG